TTTCCTTTTTAAACGGACCGGGTCCCTGTCAGTTTCCATGTGAAACGTTGGTGGGAGAGTCACAACCGATGGCCGGACACCCTTCCCGCCTGTGGGAGATGGCACTCGTGCCATGACTCTGCTGGCCATGGCCCTGGACTCGTTGATCAGGAGACCCCAAAGGGATCGCCCCTCCGTAAACCTGCCGAGCGGATGGGCCCTCTTTCTCCGGCGCTGAGCGGCTTCGTCTCTCCACTTGGCGCGCCCCCCCCCTCCACGCTAGGCACTCTCGCATGGAAGGGGCAGATTCTCACTGATTGGAAAAGAGCTACCCACCCCCGCACCTATCTCACCATCTGCCAAGTTCCAGCCCAATTCGGACCCCTGACATGCCTGGCTGATATAATGGAGCAGCTTGTCATGCCTCAAGCTGCCACCATCTCAATGTGCGAGCCTCTGGTAGCCGGTCTGCGTCTTGAACGTGACGAGCAGGCCCAGTGCCACAGATGTAAGTGTAAAGCATTCTACCTAAGCAGGCGATCATATCGCCGAAGGGTGTCAAAAAAGGAGGGCCTTTCCTGCTGCAGGTCTAACCTGATAGGCACAAGCGAAAGTTGTCGAATGAGGCTGTTCTTGCGCGATCCAATAGGCTCCTTTCTCCATCTTTGCCACTGTGGCACAGGCTCTGCTTTATGTCCCGGGGCTGCATCTTCAAAACAATTCCGGCGCATGCTGTCAAACATTTTTCCTTGAGCCACCCTTTCATTGCTAAATGTTTTTCGAATGAGGATCGTCTAGACGCCAAAAACACCATCCAAGGGGCTGGGAGAGTCAACATGCTTGGGAGCGCCAAATCGAAGCCTGAGCGCAGATCTGCGGCGTGGACTTGAGAACCAGGAAAAACCCGTGATTTTGGAATCAACTGTTTGAGGGAAACCAACAAGCTTTGAGGTTGGCAAGGGGACCAGTGCGATGTTTTTCTCATGCCGGTGCCACATGCGCCAAAGCGTCGATTCCGCGCACAAGAAGACGCAAGTGACATTTTCAGTGAACTTCGGCGTACTACAAGGCTGCCTACGTGCTAAGTACAACGCTCGTGCTCGCAGGCTGGCTTTCGCCTCACAAAAGCAAATATAATTCTTCGGTTTCGTCGCAATTTACGCAGCCTGGGCTAGAAACACAGTGTTGGTACCCAATGCCCAGTCACTGCAAAAGCCACGGGGAAACGAAGCCCCGAGATCAAGTAGAGCAAAGGCACGCATGGGCCACAGGGCAACTGGCTCCTGGCACAGCCTTCGCAGCCTTCAGTCCAAGCAGCTATGAACAAATCCAGCCACCGCCTCCGCATGGGAGTTGTAGTAGCATATGAGGCCTCCAGATTTGCAGGTGTTCTTTTTGTGTGGGGGGGGGGGAGCTTTGCCATGTTCCTCAAAGTCCACTCTGAAGCAATCTTCCCTCTCTCCAATGCCGAGATGCTGCAAGTGGTGCCAATAAAGGCCAGGTCCGGGAACACTAGCCGCCGGATGTTGTCTGAGGTGACAATCTTCCTGGCGCTTGAGGATCTCGACCCAAGAGCCCAAGAGTCAAGCGAGCTGCGTGCTCAAATATCTTCAAGGCTAGCACGCTTAGGTTTTTACCTGCAAGAGCAACCGTGGCTGGCAGGCCCTTCCCAAAGGAACCCATTGCCCCTAGCAGGATTCTAGCTTTGGGAGTTGGGGGAATCTGTGCAAAGGTCTGGGCAAGGCTCAGAGCCGAGGTTCGCAGCCCCTTGACAACGGTGCTCGTGGTTTAGCGATCAATCTCTAGGCGTTTGGTCCACACCAACCTATGCACCGCAACCCGCGTCATGCGCCGGTCGGCCTGGGTGTCCAAAGCTGCAGGTGCCTTGTGGCTCGCTGGTGCCGCCGCCAGTGCCGGAAGGTGTAGCCTCGGCAAATGCACCGAACACAAAAGCCAACTGGGGGGCCATCCCTGGTTTTCCCCGTGGTTTGAAGCCATTTTGAGGGCTCATCCACGGATCGCCCCCCATACCCATAGCCCCTTGTCCATGAGGCAAAGAACTTGGGGCTCGAGCGAGTCTGGGCATAGCAATTGATCAGGGCTTCACTGGTGGTTGGTGGTGCAAGTGTAGGGATAGTCTGGGGGGTTAAGCGCTCAACACAAAGCAGTCCCGTAAATGACTAGACAAATTCTGAAAGTACGTAGTCTACTTGGGCAGCTTTGACTGAATTGCTTTAAGTATGTTTCATTATGTTTCCTTATTGAGTCCGCCACTCGATTTGGGGGCCCTTCTATGAATTGGCAATCGAGAAAAAAGAACACATGCAAGGTCTCAAAAATGAATGACAGAAAAACCGTTCCCAGCCTGGCAGGAGGGGCTTGTTTTTTGCAGATTGAGTGGCTCATGTCGATGGTGATCTTCCGGAAGAACCGCGAGACCCGGTTCTGCCCCGTGTCCCGGCAGTATTGGAGCGACATGGCCCCTGCTGAGGCCTGGCGTGGATGGCATCTCCAGGAAAAAAACAACAAGTGGTCCCTTTCAAACAAAGGCCGGCATGAAAAGGCATGCCTTCGATTGGAGGAACTTATCCAAACAATTTTTGAACATGCCTTACCCTTCCACCAATTAACATAGAACCTGACATTCGGGGGTTCTGGATATGTTCCTTTTAACGAGACCGGGTTCCTGTCAGGTTCCATGTGAAAAGGGTAGGGTCACACCCGCGGCCGGACCATCAGGTTCCTTATTGATTGGAGGGCCCACCATCTGCGGCTCTGCCTCAGAATTGGCGCCTCTCTCGCCTCGTGACCCACATGGCCGCGGCCTGGAAGAGCCGTCGCTGTGCTTCAGCCTGCGCCTCCGCTTCGGCCTCGCACTCCGGGGGAACTCTGGGGAGCTGGGGCACCGGAGCGCTCGTGACACGAGGCAATTCTGTGACCAAGGGGTTTCACTGAGGGAAGCCTCTTGTACCCGCCAGTGAGCTTTACAGTAGATGTTCCAGAAGCGCTGCTGACTCATAGTGTTCTTCCAAACAGTGACTGCTCAGGGTCCGTCTTTAGAGTTTGAAATGTATTCATGGCTGCGTGACTGCATTTTGACGCGGTGCAATGCACCCTGCGGGCACGTACACGTCAATGTGCAACTTGATTTCACACATGCAACAAGTCACAGCAGGGTGAGCGTATGGCACAACTCCGTACATTTACAGGATAAAGGACCGATGAAACACTGGAGGACAAATTGCGCCATCTACTTCGCCCAACTGTCCCTAAGACCAGTGCTTTGACAAGCAACAGATCCCGCTATTCTTTGCCTGCATCGGTCAATCTGAATCTAAGACTGGAACCCTAAGACTGGAAGGCCAAACTCAGGCCAATCCCATGCCGGTTTCTCTGTGCAAACTTACAGGGCACTGAGGGCTCACGGCTTCCAACACGTCTGCCAATTTTACTAATGCAAAAGTTGATTTAAGGGATCCGAAAGTCAAGGGCCTTATCACGGTGAGCTCGTACCGGGCTTAACCCCCGAATCGGTGAGCTCACGAAGATGTGCTGATGCAGCAATCCCAAACATGCGCCTGCGACTTGGAGTCCTCCGTGGCAACAGCCCGGCCCAGGCCGACTGGCAAGGCGTCATTGGGCGTTTCTCTGGGGCCACCATGTTGGTTAATCAGCTTGAGCTGGGAATGGATTGACAAAAAGAAGAACCGCCACTGAGACACTGGAGTCTGCTGCTTGTCCGCTTGCAATGTGCATGGCCCCTCATCTTGGCAAGCCTCGGTGGGTCTATAGAGTGTCCGTAAGCCTATCGACTTGATAACCGCTGTCCGGATAGATAGACCGCAGGCCCCGACACCACAATTACCCCACAAGCAGGCCGGTTTTCGGCCTCAACAACCTTGAAACCCTTCCTGCGGTTTTGCCCTCCCACCAATTTACACGGAGCCTGGCGTTTTTTCACCCGGTCCCTTGACAAGGAAAACGGTCCAACCCAGGAACCCCCCGAACGTCAGGCTTCATGTGAATTCGGCTTTCGCCCGGGTTTGCGGAGAAACCGGTGTGACACATGTTGCTTGCCAAGAGGCATGGGAATCGCGGCACCCAGCGCCGGCGAAGCTTCAGCATGGCCCTACGTCGGCCCACGTGTCGCGTCTTCAGCTTCCCTCTAGTTGGTCTGGGTTGGTGCTTTGGAGCCCTCACTGAGAATCAGGTGTTGAAACCCACAAACGGTCAACCTGACCCCTTCTCAACTGACAAAAGCAGAACAAGCAAAGAGCCATCACATGGGTGTGGCTTTTGGCTTTTCTAAGGGTACCTTTCTTGGATGGTGTTACAAGGAAGCCAAAGGGAAGCCGCCCATTTTGGGAGGTTGCTTTTGAGACATAAAGAGAGCAGGTCCCTTTGGCCTTGCACCTCCACAGCTCGCAATGTCGTGGACTTTGGCTTCCGAAAAGGAAAGGAGAGAGAGAGAGAATGTCAGGAGTTGGGCAGCGGCTGGGCTAAACCAAAAGAGCTGAGGGGACCGCATCAACTGGCCATGGGTCAAAACCCCGTACCCCCAGCCAGTGAGCATCCCATCCCCACTAAAATAGACCAAACTGGGTCTACCTACCCCAAAATGGGATCCCGGTACGCTGGCCAAGGCGCTAGGTGCAGCTCCGGAAGGGCGAGGCCATTTCCAGCTGACACCAAGGCGTGGGCCAAGGCGTGGGTTGCGTAAGAACTGCTCCCTACGATTCTCGAAGCGTTGCAATTGGGCAGTGGTGTTGGGCTAGTCCACTATTGTGACCACTGCGTTGTGCACAAAGGCTAACCGTTCAATGGGACATTCTCCCAGCTTTTGCACCCAAATCAGCATCTCAGCTTGCTTCATGTTGGCCGTAGAAACGCCACAGCTAGGCTTGAAGTCTTGGATTGCATTGGATCAGCCCCCTGAGCAGCTCCGTCAATGCCACGTCGGATGGGAAAAAATGAACTCGCTCTGGCAGGCCAACGTCTCTGCGTTGCTCCGAGGGCAGCACTGCGGAATGGCGGGTGGCAGCAAAGAACACTAAGGAAAATCGATCCTCAGTGACATGCATCTGGCGAGCGCAAATGATGCTGAAGTACACAGTCACATTATGACAAATTCATAGACCGCTGTTGACAAAATCAAATGAAGGGGGGAACCCCACACCAACCAGACCCCCCAGTGAGCAGGAAGTTGTCTTCCCTGGGGCACACTTCCTGATGTCACGGTTTCGCCAACCGGGAAAGTCAACACAGATTCCCAAACGGCAAGCTTCTCTCAAAGCCCTCTTGCTAGTTGTCCGGGTCTGGGGCTATCCCCACCTGTGAGGCACCTAAGGCCAAAGCTCCTCCTTGGAATGGTCGCACCTGACAGCAGGCGCCGAAGCACCGTTCCGATTCGACACATGCTCAGGTTCCCTTTCCGGGTGACTCCACTTGTCACAAAAGTCGACAAGGAACACTTTTCTGACCATCCTCGGCACTTGCGGTGCGCAGTCTGTATGGCCACTTGGGCCCCCGGCGAAATGCATTCGCCGGCCATCGAAGCGCGCCTTTGCGCGGCTCTCTTTAAGGATACCCTTTTTGGAGTGGTTGTATCCGGACACCAGAAGCAAAAAAAAAGAAGAACAAACAAGAAACAGAAACACACCAAAAAAAACAACCCTTTTGGGTCCCCTATGTCAAGACACCCACGGTCACCCACGTGTCAAAACAGCGCCAATTGAGCGTTCGCGTCCCGGAGATTGAAGCGTCCCGTCCGGGTGGCCCGGCCCATCTCCTATGCCTCAGAGCCGAGCCACGTCTTCGCAAATCTATGTCCTCAAGCTTTTGGGACTGAAAGACTTCAAAGAATCCAGGCACAGGAAATTCACAGGAACCCCCTGTGTTTGCTCGTCCTGCAGCTGGTTTCTATGATAAAAGGCTGAACTGAAAGTGCGGTTGCCTCATTATCCAGCATGGCTGTTGCAACTTTCCGACCGTGTCAAACAGGCTTCTCCTGACAACGCTTGTTCAACAGTCTTCATCATTTATGTAGCCCGTACAATTGACATTTTCTGGCACATGCATGCAACAACCGTTGTCAAAAAAGAGGAACAAGCTTTATGGCTGTATACGCCTATATGCAGCAGCGAATTCTTCTCTTTTCCACAAGCTGGCTTGCCACAAAACCTGTCGGTCGCCACGTCTACCGGTTCGCCTTGGCCACACGCTCAATTTCATCCTTCCTTAGTGTCGCCAGTTTCTTCAATTTCCAACTGAAACCTTTAACTAAGAACCCTTTTACCCTGACCAATGTGACATACAATCTAATTCTCCCGTAGCTTCTTCTTGATGGCATAGCTGTTGGACGACTCCTTGGCACAGTTCATGATCTCGTCTGCCAAGCACTCCGCGATGGACTTGATGTTGCGGAAGGCGCTGTTTCGTGCACCAGTGCCTCAGTTTAGGATTAGATGCGCGGAGCTTCGGACGCGCAAGCAATCGGAGCCTCACTCAGGGCCCATGGGGGCAATGCAACTGCCGACCGGACAACTTGCTTCCATTTGCCTTGATGCAGTCCTCAGATTCCCTGCCAAAAGCTTAACTTTTAGTGGGTTAAATGGACACCTCTCTAAACCCCGACAAGCTAAAAACCTATGGGGATGGCTGGGAACCAAGTTATGAGCACAATCCAGGCAACATTTCACACGCCCAGCGGCAAATGAGATAGATTGCTTGGTTCACTCGGCGAAGAGGGGACACATCAACAGCCTGACGGCGAACCACGCCGGCGGAGCCAACCCGCGTGGAATCCTCACGAGGCCCGCCATTCTTCACAGCATCCACAAAGACCTCACAGGGCGACGTTTGATCTTGTCAAACACTTGCGGCGGGGACAATTACCCTCCCATCCACAAACATGGAACCTCACCGGGGGATCCCGGAAGACCAGTTTCCTTTAAAAAGGACCCCCTCATGAGTTCCATATTAGGGGACAGGAGGGCTGACGGCTGCATCTTTTTCTGACCAGCGCACGAAACTGCCTGCCTGGATGGGGTTCTTGTCGGTGAGCAGGTGGATGATCTCGAAAGCGTGCTTCACAATCCGCACGGCCATCAGCTTCTTGCCTCGGCGGTGCATTCCGCCGCCAGTCACACGCCAGGACTGCTCCGTAGCTTGATTTTTTTGTAGACAATCCCTATGGGGCATGTTATGTTGCACGAGCAATGGCAAGAACTGCCAAATACTCAACTGCAACTAACTTACTTGGCCTACGTCTATACATTTATATACTAACATGTCATGATCATGGCCACCGCCTAGAAAACTCCATCCATGATTCCCACAGATTCTCTAGTCTTTTTGGGCACCCGTCTCATTGATTGGGAAGGTCCAAAGGCTTGTTGGCAAATGTCCTGCTAAGCTTTCTCCCACATTTCCTACAGCCAAGCGAAAATTGAAGCAGTGCAACGATTCACGCTGTCCCGTTGCGATGCAACGCCGAGATGTCACCATGGAATGACCTGCTGGCAGTTCCAAAGGGCCGCACATCTATCATACTACCCTCCTACCAATTAACATGGAACCTGACAGGGACCTTGTCCCTAAACAGGAACTGGTCCAAACCAGGACCCCCGAACGTGGCACGGTTCCATGTTAATTGGGAGGGTACAAAAGGAGCTTCTCCTGGCGGCTCACTCCATGCAACTTCGGTGCTGACGTCTCGCCAAGTCGCCGTTGTTCCTGCCGTGCATCATCATAGAGCACGCCAGGCGCTCCACGATGGGGCACATCGCCTTGCGGAAGCGCCTGCACAGAAGTCACGTCAAGCTTGGCATCTGACAACAACCCATGGCAAACGAGACTTGACAAACATCAGGAGATACGATGAATAACCACATTTTCCCAAGTCCGTTCACTGAGCTACCTGAATGCAGCTCTTTGCTTCATCTGTCTACCAAGGCATGCGCAAACAAGGGTAACCAATGCGTATGACTGCACAGGCTTGCTAGGCGGCGATTGTGACCTGCCCATGTGTCCCTTAATTGCTTCCCCTAATATTTCCAGCAGGCCCAAATACTAAATTACCTTAGAAAGGACAATTGTTCCTCCAGTCGTACAAGAGGAACCTGGAAACAGGTCTTGTGGTTCCATTTAACCCCTTACTTACAACAGTGAGCGGACCCTGAAAGGAGTACTACTTTCCATCAAGTGAACAAACACAGAAGTGACAAACATCGGCAGCCCAAATCTGGAACAGGGCAGCCCTAAAGACATTTGTTAACGGGCCGAACTGCACTACCCATACGCCATGGTCAGCTGTCGCCTCATCTGATAGCGGCCTTGTGTGTGGGCGACAAAATGTTGTGCCGACTTGTTGACCGCGATGTAGTCCACCAAACTGAGATCCTGGAGGTTTATGTCCTCAGGGCACTGGATGAATGCGGAAGATTCACTGAGCGCCTGCCTCATATTGAAGTGGGCTTGCCACAGCTACCCGAGCCCCAACTGGAGATTGCAGGCGTCAGCGATCAAGCAAAGGTTTACAGCCTAGATTAGCAGCATGTGCGCACAAACCTAGGAGATACGCCTGACCTTGGTGCATTCGCCTTCCCCGAGGTCTCCGGACCTCATAGGTCCACTTCCCAAAGAGCTTCACCTCCGTCGAAGACATGGCGAAAGGCGCGCGCGTGGATGGCAATGGCCAAGCCAGCTGGAGCCAACGCAGGCGTTTGCGCGCTCTGCAAGGACGCCCCAAAGCCACTGCTTCATATCTTCCTGTAAAAGAGCAGACTGAAGAACACGGTGACTAAGGGTGAGCGCTATGCTGGAAGCGTGTATCAACATACATCAACATTGGATGGGTTCCCAAGACCAAACCGAGGGAGAGAAGAACGAGTGTGTCTGCACTCTACTTTGATGTTCAGCCCTGAGTATTGCCCATTGGTGAAAATAGTTAGAGCTCGGGGCCCATGCCACGGAAAAGCGAGATATTTGATCACCGTCTTGGACCCAAGCGTTGCTAACTTCAACTGCCATGTTTGTACCTACTCTAAATTGAGGGCGGGCCTCTTGGGAACTTAATGATTCACTTTGATTGAATTGGTATCGGGTTCATTGGAAGAACGCCAAGGTTTCAATCTTTTTGACACTGCCCGTTGTCCGTTCTATGCCATAAATGTACAGTAGCTTGTTCTGTGAACAAGGGTTGAAGTTGGATGGCTTCCATGTAGCCATTCCCAAAGATTCTCCCATAAACAACGGGTGTTGATTGCTGTGTTCACAAACCAGGCGGAATGACATTTTACCAAGGCTGCTTGACAACCATTAGAAATGGTACAGTTTGGACACCAAAGTGTTTCGCTTCCACTGCATTGTGCTCTGTAACCCTGGCAGTTTGGTTCTCGCAAGTGAATTTCTCAAGTGAGCAGCGCGCAACACCCATCAATTGACTTTTGGGTTCCTCTAGCCCTTATTCTTCCCATCTACCCACAATTGCCATGTTGTTTCCCTTTCCAATGGCAAACTTGGACCAATCAAGTCAGACACGCCAAACCAGAGCTGGGTCCGAATCAATGAGTTTTCCGTGTGAACGAAGCAGTGAGGGAAGGCTTTGCAAACATGTTTTCTCAGACGGCTTAATGCTTGTGGGTGGGGTGTTGCCGTGGGGACTGCGGTAATTGGCGCTGCCGCGGTATGTCCGCGAAGCATGGAACAAAGTCCTCTGGGCCAATTTTTCTGCAAAAACAACTTGTTCGCTGAGCATCTGACACGCGTCCTCCAGCAAGCTGGAACTGCTAAGTAATTTCAGGCACCGACACGTCCAGGAAAGTGCCGCGGCAAACATCACCCTTGCGGAACCGCCTCGGTAAGCTCCAAAACATGTGGCGCGGCGGAAATACATCTTCAACCATGCTGGTTTCAAACCAAAGCTGCCTGAAACGTGCGGCCTTGTCTTTGGAAAAAGGTTAGGGAAGCTCCAAATTCTCAACTGCTGGATACTCAGCATGCTAAACAAGGCAATCACGGAAAAGAAGCCAGGTACAGCGTAGAAGACATCCAGTTCTACCATGACTTCTGATTTCAGTCCCAAAGACGCAAACGTCGCAAACACAGTGGTCAAATTGCCATGCCCGATTGATCAAGCCATCTTCTTCGTTGCGATCGGCATCTTGCCGTTCGCCGAGTCACTGAGGTGCTTGCCCAGGGATGTCACAGCTCAGCATGTGGCTCTCGCCTGCGAAAACGGCAGCTTCAGCCCCATGTGGCGCGCCCCAGAAGCAAAGCAACTCAGCTGTCAGGGCCACTTCTCCCAAGCTCTACAAGCCGGCTGGTGTAAGTGCCTCGCAAAGGGATTGCAAATGATGCTCCACACGCTAGGGTCTGTCTGTGGGCCGCGTCCGAAAAAGAGTTCTGTGACGGATTTTATCCAAAATGCATGCTAGGGTCTGCCTTTGGCACACAAGTGTGACAGGCCTATTTTGATGAACCAAGCGTGCTTCTTGCTGAAACGGCTCCTTGTGCATTTGAGGGCTCGATTGCGCTTTCGTTGGTGGTTCGCCCATTGATTCTTTGATTGTTTCGTTAAGCCCTGGCGAATGGCTGCAAATGGCTCTAACTGGCTACTGTGCGTTCAAGGATCCACTCACCACGTCCTCCTACGTTTCAACTGCACTTGGGGAATTGCCCTTCTGAGTCAAGCAACAACGACAGTTCCGTACCCCTCCAGTCACCAAAGGCAGTTTAGCAAGAACTTCTGCGGAACTATGAGCTTTGCAAGCATTGTGAGTGACAAAGCTAACAATGTCCTGGCACCTGGAGTGTCCTAGCGTTACCGGACTGAGTGCCCCGCGACCCCAAGGGTCCTGCCAAAGACGCTGTCGAAAGCATGCGGGGCAACTGCTGGCCCCTGACTTGACTTACGGTGTGCATCAACGCGGGTGGTACTGGGCCCCGATCCGTTCGGGTGATGGCACCAACATGTTATCTAGGCGGCTAGCGGCTTTGGCCAGAATTTTTGCGCACTCGTGTTCCGAGAAAACAAATTGCCCCACTTGCACAAACACTGCCGTGCAAATGTCGCCGTGAGCCTTCCCAGCATCATGTCAAGCCTCCGAATTAATTCTAGCAGGGTCAAACTCTGAAGCCATACGTCATACGTTGATTCAGGGAACTCCGAAAATTGAACAATTCAAAACAAACGCCATGTCCACATGGTATGCTTCCAGTAAATACCAGCATGGGAAGGCATCCAATTCCTTTCGTACTATGGACGAAAATGTGGCACCACTTTGAAACCATGGGAGACCATTCTTTGTTGCTATTTACAGGGGACTCGAGTCATTCCAGGGCATGGTAGGTGCAGGAGTTCGTCCATCCACAGGTCTTCTTTTGTGCCATCGGGAAATCCACCCCACACGTGAGCGCTGTTCGTTGCTTCCGTGTCCTCGACGAAGAGCTCGCCGCCCTCACTCCAGTCCTTGGAAAGCGTGCCGAAAGAAGCCTAGGGGCTACCCTAAATCAATGTAAACAGCAGCCCCACAAGTTTCACTTGTAAATTACAAAAAACAATTGAAGCATGGAAACAATGGGGAAAAGGATTCATCAACCTATCATATCACACAGAACATAATCAAAGTAAATGAATATTCTATGAATGTGAATGACTGATCGTGCGACCTGCCTTTTGGATGCTGCCGGTCTTTGTACGCAGCGTGACAAGCAGTCATGGCTATTTTAGTCTATGTTCGTCGCTTTATAGGCTTTTCTTCAGAGCAATGAGTCGGCTTTGAGACTCACGTTGGGCTATTAGCAGCACAACTGATACTCGAAACATCTCGAACAATGCGCGAGGTGCTTTCCCTGCAAGCATGTGTTGATGTGTGTACGTGCGTGTTTCTCCATGTTGGACCGACCGGCAAACTGCACATGCAAACAGAACGGCCCGCATCAATGCCAAGTGGCAAAACAAGAACAGTCTTAATCATACTCCTGAATGCCTACAATGCTCGCACATGTCGAACGATTGCGAAATGCACTCTGGCAAGTACTGGTCCTACCAAACCCCCTTTTCAGTATCAGTCTTGCACGCCATGCCTTGAAGCCAAGCCTACATATTGCGTGACTCCCAAGTTCTTAGCTCCAAAAGTCCCCTCCCCATGTCCCATGCGAATCCAAGGCCCGAGCACCCAGAGCAATGATCCAGCTAGGGCCTGGCCGATCCAAAGCGAAGCCGATCCAAAGGCTCATTTCCGCTGCCGTCGGTTTACGCCGCGACTGTCGCAGCCCAATGATTGTGCATCATCCATCGTCCTTGCCGTTTGCCAGCGTGTATGCTTTGACTCTGTTTTGATGGTCTAGGGCCTACTGCTTTGAGCACAATAAGACTTAGTGCGGCACCACTTTTTGGGCACGCTTTCAGCCATGCCCCAGCCTGAACATGCCTCTACAGCAAAAGCAAGCCGGCCAAGCCCTTTTCATCTTCCCCATGAGCCCACGCTTGTACAGCGAAACATGCCAAACGGCTGACGCAAACTTCCGAGAATGTCCGCCTAAGTTGTTGCCATCGACGTGCTCGCGAGCCTGGCCCCCGAAACTCCGGCTTTACTGCCCAGTCTGCTCCAACCTACTGGTATGTACAGGGGAATCATCATTCTAGGGCTTCTTGGATGGTGCATGATTTTGCATCCACAGTATCACGTATGCCACCAGTTTCCAATCTGCCTGAAGGAACGGAAAAGCGCGGAAGCAAATCTGTCGCGAACCAAGCAGTAGGGATGTATAAACGTGAGCGCAAAAACATGTGTAGATGCATCTTCCTCTAAACACTGCACACGCATATAAAATATGCACGTTTATTAATGTGCCTATACAATTTCCACATGAAGTAAGTGTACCTGTCGGCGATGCGGGTGCGCTATTGCAATAAGGATCACTTGTCTGACTGGGAAAAGGGGTTGTTTCTCTACAGGTACCTGGCAAACCGGCAGGCTCTGATTACGGAGACGTCGGCTCCGTTTAAGGCCGGGGTGCTGCATAGTTGCGGTTCATCTGGATGGAGGTGCACACCAAGCCCTGGCCTGAGACATGGCCGAAGTGGGAGCTGCCCAAAGCAGGCGCCGCAAGCGGATCCGAACTAAACCACAAAGAGTACGGCTCGTATTTGTGATGTTAGCTGTATGTCTATATAGATGTATGTCTAGATGCAAAACATGTGTATAGGCACATATATATATATATATGTATGTTTGCGCATGTCTCGGCTATAAGGACTGGCGCCAGCAGGAAGCCGACCATTGGAGGACCAAAGTAAATCTAGCACCTAGTCGGCAGTGCTGCTGGTTTATCCACTGGCGGCCCTGGTGCTGTGCATTGCATTCTGGAGAAGGTCCTTGACTTTGCCTTAACAAGGCAAAAGACCCCTTCAGGAGGATTTCTTGAAGGCTGAATCAACAGCTAGGTCCTCCAGTGGAGAGGTTAGAATAAGGGTACCCTTTTTTCTGTAGCCTATTTTAGTAGAACCCTCCCCGCAAAAAAGAATCGGTGAGCACGGGCACTACTGGGGGACCTTGACAGAGTTTCAGACATGTTTCAGGTCTGTAGCCAAAAGCCCGGCCGGGGCTAAGTGCCAGGCAGCCTGGGATGTTGCCCTGGCGCTGCTCCTCCTGAACCGGGAGATCACCCACCAAGTAAATCAATAAATAAATAAGTCAATAAATAAATAAATATATATATATATAATGTATATAATTCTATGTGTGTTCAGTATATTCTACATAATGGTAAATCATGTACATTTCTCAGTGCGATCATTTGTGTGATAGTCGTCATCCCCGCCCCTGTTCCCTCCAGTTTTGCAAATCAGAGTGCCAGGAAGTCAGAACAAACACGCTGAACAGTGTGAGCTGTGCAGCTCTATCATGTCAGACCCCCTCCTCTGGCAAAGCAATCAAAGCATTTTGGACACTGGACGCGTGCAAGCAAATGGGGCAGGTGCCGCGGTTTTCTGACTATGCAGGCAACAACTACTCAGGCCCGAGGGTTTTTCTTGTGCATTGGAATTTCAGGTGTCAGGTATGTTCTAGATGTATGCTCGGCCAAGTGGCGGCTATGCCAATGTTTTGGAGTCGTCTACACTTTCTTCCTGGAGGTATGGTGGAGAATAGGTGGCCGATGCAACCCTTGCCACTGCGCACACGCACATAAACGCTCAGCCCTGCGTGCACAACACAGGCGTGCAGGGCATGCTTGCAATAGGGCCATCCCATCGTCGCACGGGTTGACATGCCTGGATGTGTTGCTTCCAGAAGCGCAACCTGAGTGGCCAGCGACTTTGAAACATGCGAAATTCCGAAGCCCGCATACTCAGAATTAGAATGTGCACACAGCTCATCTTGTTCGCCTGGCCCCTGCATTGAGGCCCCACAAATCGGCTACCCCAAGCAACCCGTACTATCTTGGCAAAGCGCCAACAACGGGTCAATGCGACCATCTGGAGGGGGCAATCTTGAGGTCCCTCCAAACCATAGGTGACCTTTTAGCAAAATGGACTGGCAAATGGCATCAAATCAATGTAAACCAGCGCCTCTGGATGCACTAGGGAGGCGACAGCAGCTTGCACAGGTTCTCGTAGAGCCGTGTCCTTCTGGCCGGCAACGGCCGGCCTGGGCCAGACATCAAGGGAGCGGACTGCCAAGCCGGTCGGGGAGCGCATGCGCATGCCCCACTCTTAAAACAATGCCTGCAATGGTGTTCAGGAAAGCGCGAAACCGAGGACGGAAGAAAAAACCGGAAGGCAAGCCTCATCCTTGCATGTGGCCAAGGGGTATTTGGAGCCCACGATCCTAATAATTCCCGCCTTGAGTGCTGGCGCAGGAAACCAACCTCAGTTGCTGGCGCCATGCAGCAATCTGCCTTTGTAGAACCATAAACGATTTGACTGCCAAACGTATTTGCAGCCTCATCCCATTGACGGCGTGATCAGATCCCCTGCAAAAAGCCTGACGTTTAGTGGCTTCGTGGAAACTACCACTAAACCCAAAAACACCTAAGTACCTAAGGGCATGGCCGGAAGCCAGCAGGTAACCATAGATTATGAATAAGTTCCAGTGCTGAAACTATCCACACTGCCAACTCTCCAAACTGGGGGCGTGGCCCCAGCGTAATGGAGTCTATGATGTTAATGCCCTCTGGCCGAACCTGGGCAGAAGTGTGAACTCATCGATCCAACAGCAAGGCCTGCCCAGCACCCTCTCTTTCTTAAGTAAAACGTCTTTGATCAACAAACAATACATGCGAGAGTCCTTCCGTCGCTTCTTCTGTTTGGCATCAGGAGTGACATTGCCACACAAACAAGCACAACAAAACAAGCAAAGCAAAACAATCCAAACCAACCAACCAACCAACCAACCAACCAACCAAACAAACAAACCAACAAACAACACAAAATAACACGAAACAAACCAAACAAACTCACCGCGTTCAAATGTCATGAGTTCAAAAACTAAGCTCCGGGCATTGGCTCTGCCAGAGTTTCGCCAATGCCTTCGCGCAGCAAATTAGAGTGCAGAAGATCTCCGCTGGAGCTGGGTCCTTCTTTTCCATCTCCCAATGCCCTTGCGACCTGCAAAAACAACATAACCCGTCTGCGACCGCGCAGGGCATGGAGCACATAACCTATTTGCTGACACAGGGCATGCGGTGGAGCCGGCTAGCCCTGTTCGCAGGCAGGCGTCTTCGCGGATTGGAGGTGGCGGGCCCTTCGATCGAGTTTACTCAGGTCCCAATCCAGCCTCACAAACAGAAACACTCAGCAACATCCAACATTTCGCAGCTACACACCGCGATGCACACATCAACAGCACACGCAACAACACTACAACGACAACAACAACAACAACAGCAGCCGCAACAACAACAAGGACAAAAAACAGAAACAGCAGCAGCAGCAACTACCACCACCACCACTGCCACAAGCACCATCACCACCAGCACAAACAGAACCACCAGAACCACCAGAACCACCAGAACCACCAGAACCACCAGAACCACCACAACGCAGCAGCGGCACCACCCAGCGCACAACAACGGCAACGAAGACGAGGATAATGAAGGCGCCGACAACGGCAACGACAACTATAGGCAACAAACACAGAAAAAATACAACTAATTCCAACATTCGTAGATCAACGACTTTCAAATCTAGAAAACGAAATCACAGGTAACGTGCCGACCAGCGAACTGTGCGTGAGACTTGGTACTTGAACCTGACCTGAGGTTCTGGCTTTGTTGGAATGCGCCGCAAAGCCTCAAGCACCTGAGCGAACTGAACCCAACTTTCCACCTCTGGTCAGTGATAGAGGGAAGTGGAAACCCTGGAGAAGAACGGAAGTCTAGGAGGTGCAAAAAGTTCACGCGATCTGGTAAGATATTGTTGAGGACTCTGATTTGTTCAGAACTTTAGGATGCGGCTTGGGCGCTTCTTACCTGACATGAAGTGTAAGTGAGCTTCCCGGACCACGAGTTTCCCGTAGGCCACAAGGTCACACAGTCAGCTATGGGCAAGCGAGGCAGACTTGCAGCGCTTGAAGGCAGGCAACGTGCGATGGCAAAGTTTGGGAACAGTGAGTGGACATATGCAAAGATGGCTGTGCCCACGCTGGTTTATCAGTAGGTTTGTCGTTCAACTCGCCGCTGATCAACAAGAAAACGTACAGCATACCCCAGGATCCCCGCCTCATCCGCGTTGATCCTGCAAAGCGCTGCGTGATGTGCATGTGCATCTCTGCGTGCGCAGGAACGCTCACAGTACAACTGGCGCTGGTGACCGTCCCAGCTCTCCTCTGACTTCTTCCCAGGAGGGAGGCCTCCGCGTGCCACAATGCGCTTAGCCAGCTCGGGCGAAGAGAAAGCATGTGTGGCGTGCAGCTCTCTTCATATGTGTCTCTATATAGGCAAGTAAACCAATACACAAATACAAAAACAAGAAACACACATATATACATATATATCTACAGTGTATATATATATATATATACACACTATGTGTCATGATAATATTGTCGTATCAAATGTTTCGTATGGCCATTTTGCCCATTTCCTGATGGTGGCAAAAGAACTGCTACGGTCTGTTTACACATTGATAGCGCCTGTTATCAAACAATTCAGTTTGCAGTCGCGCAACACGCTGGACAGTCCACTTGACGCACACCCGATGGAACCAGGACTCCAACGCAAGAACCAACTCGGACTCCCTGCCGAACAACGCACGGAACAAGCACAAAAACCAAGGAACAAACAAACAAACAAACAAACAGACAGACAGACAGACAAACAAACAAACAAACAAACAAACAAACAAACAAACAAACAAAAACACTCACACATACACACATACAGCACAGCACAGAACAGCACATACACACACAAACACGCCCGCCTGCCTGCCCGCACGAAAGCACACGCACGCACGCTTACACCTTACACACACTTTCACTTACACACACACACACACGAACACTTACACTTGCACTTGTGCTTACGCTTGCACTTACACTTAGACCTACACACACACAGACAAACCCACGCACACACACAGACACGCAGGCAAACACACAGACACACACACACAGACAGACACACAGACACACACACACACAGACAAACACACAGGCAAACACACAGACAAACACACAGGCAAACACACAGACAAACACACAGGCAAACACACAGACAAACACACAGACAAACACACAGGCACACACAGACACACAGGCACACACAGACACACAGACACACACACACACACAGACACACACACACACACAGACAGACAGACAGACAGACAGACAGACAGACAGACAGACAGACAGACAGACAAGAAACACAGAGACACGGGTGCACAAACACACTGCGCACTGCTCACTGCGCGCTGAACGCCAACGCGCACGCGCACGCGCGCACGCATGCACGCACTCGCGCGCTCAAGCGAGCAAGCACGCGCGCGCCCACACACACAGGCGCACGCACACACGACACCTGCGCACACACAATAGCATACAACCAATGACACACACACACACAAACACAAACAAAATGGTTACCCGACACAACGAGGGGCAAAATACATCAAGACAAGCATGCTAACAACACTGAAGCTGCCTGGTTCGGCCTTTCACTAGTACGCGCTCGCCTGACCGTCTCCCCACCGTTTATCCCAACTAGCAAACAACAAATACGGGGCTAGTGGCCCACATGAACAGTGTCTCAAACACCACAAGCATTTTCCCTCCTTTCTACCTTATTCTTTCGGGCTCCACAACCCCGACACCCCTACTCTATTGCCCTTCTTGCAATTAGCCCATGAGCCGTGACCATTGATTTGCCGCTTTCCCGCTAGCTGGTTTGAGGAACGCGCGCGCGCCTTCCAATTGGCTTGATATTTTTGTGTCAAGCGAGCAAGCTATCAAGACCCAGCAAACCCACGCTTTGGGCACCCGTTGCGCTCATTTAAACTTGCGTCCCGGCGTTACGCTGGCCAAACCGATGCTGTGTCCGAAATCGCAGCATACCTAGCTGCTCCATCTTACTGTCTTATTCTGTTCAGCTCTGCTGCGCCATGTCACCAAGAAACAACATGACTTTGGTCTCATCATGGAAAACGAACTCATTCCCAGATGCAGTGGTTCTGTTGGAGCAAAGGTTGGTGTTGGATGTGTTCGTAAGTGGAGCGGCTCCGACGCAAACTGCCTTCACGTCATTCCGGGATGGACGGATCCAGCAGTGCCTGCCTGAGTCCGCCAAGCAGAACTGTGGCCCCTTCTGTGACTGTGACAATATGAGTTGAAGCAACCAGCCGAACTGATGTGTTGCCAGAAAACCGCCACCATCACCGCTATCCTGTACGTTGCATTTCGGGAATATACATATTCTACGGCAAACCACTCCCAATAACACAGTTGGGTCCCCAGCACCAGTTCCACTTCGTGCTGGCAGTCTTTTAGGGAGTCCATATGCATCCGCAGTTTGCTTCACCAGGGCCGTCGCTGAGGTATTGCTGCGCGAAAAGACGTCTGCGGAGCCCGGTCTCTGTCTCTTCCTGAAGGCAAAGCAAGAAGGCTATCGCCATATTCAGCGGATGGAAAGGCTGAGCTGCCGTTGCATGGCCGAGGAACTCTCTTTTTTTCCTTCTGCAAGTGACGCTTGCTTGCCTCCAAGCCAACCTTGTGGCCAGTCCAAAACCGAAGCGGTGAGTGGTTTGGCAGTCCTCCGAGTCGCTCCATTGAAACCTTGGCAGGACTGCGAATCGCGTCCCCATGGCTATGAATTTTAATGAGGGACCCTGTTGGTGGAGATCATTTCGGTGGGGATTCATGTCCAATCACTTTTGAGGTGGTTCCCTAGGTGCATGATCGCCAAGGGCACTTCCCAAAACCAATTCATGGCAAAGTGGAGAGACTTGGCAGGCTCTGGCCTCATTTCCAACTATGAAATGCTGCGGCCAGCATCCAACAATCCAAAAGACTGGTACAACACCTATATAACAGAAAGGTCGAGGAAGCGTAGGGCAACCACACACAAGCACACAAGCACACAAGCACACACAGAAACCCAGCACAGAAACACACAAACACGAGCACAAGCACACGCACACAAACTGACACAGGCCACACATGCCACACATGCCACACATGTCACAGATGCCAAACATCAAATGCACTGCCCGACTTTGCATGAGTCAGGTTTCTGCCACAGGCTTCCGGGGAGCCCAGCAGCCGACCGTCCAGCTCCACCAGCGCCTGGATTTTGGAAACGCACTGACCAAAGGCGAGCATAGGATGGATCTACGGATGCCTGTAGAAAACAGGGATCCTTACACTATACACCTGCAAATGCTGGTTTCGCTTTATTTTGGTGGAAAAAGCCATTGCAACATGTATCTTTTAAGGAGCCCTGGAAAACCTTACATGGAACCCGACCTTCGGAAAGTCCTGGGGCGGACCGTTTTCCTTTCAAAGGGACCGGGCCCCTGTCAGCGGGGGGTATACCAGCACAAATCAAGGATAGCAAGAACGTGTTGTCAGCCAACGAAGTGTGGGAACACTTAAACAGCCAAAGAAGCAAGAAAAACGAAGACAAACACCAACACCAATAGCGTCCATGAATGCACAAACGCACAACACACACAACAAAACAAACAGAGACACAACCACGCAAGCTCGGACACAACCACAAACACAATCAGCCGCTGCACACACACACACACTAACGCCGTAGTTGTGGATACAAACCGCAATACTCGCGTTGAATGCCATTGGTCACGAGTTTGGAACATGTACCCATAGGGGAGGTCTGACTGAAACCGATGTTCAATGGTCTTTTGGGTGTGGACGTCTTGGATGTAAGGACACCAATCTCAACCCCTTCAGCCCTTACGGGCTCCTGAGTTCAGATTGGCATGCGGATACGGTCACATGCCACTCGCGCGTTCAAATATTTGCTGTATGGCAAGGGCTGTGTTGAAAGAACTTTGGACCAGGGCAACATCAGGCACGCCAACAGCTGGACATTTGCGACACATGTTCATAGGTCCATTGTAAGAATGGGTTCTTTAGATTCCATCGGGGGGTGCCAGGTGACTAGCTTGCCGAGGTTCGATAGGCCCAGGCCTTTTTTCTTGCGAAACCCTCCACTGCAAGCCTGCGCTCCTGCGCATGGCCTGGACTAAAGTACATCCCAACTGGGAAACAACGTTAGCGGGGGTTCATCGCAAATGCCGCGCTGAGCCTCTGACCCACACCTCGAATTCTCGGGTGAAGTCATCGGCTAGCCACTCACTTTCTGTGAGTGGCCACGGCAAGCTCTCCAAAAGAAACCAACCTTCTGTGGCTTGGCACAGGTTGCAGGATGGGCAAACTGAACAAAGACATTGAGACATGCGGACGCAACATTTCTTACTAACGCCCTGTCAGTAAGCACAATTCGCAGCTGGCAATGTGGGGCATGAGAAGTCAAACCCATCCGTATCTTGCTCTCTTGCAGCAGGGCGCTGGCAAAACGCTGCCTCCTCAGAACAACGCGATGTAGAAAACAGGGCCAGCCAGCTCAGTGGCTTTCGAGACGTCCGGAGAAGCTCCCGGAGAATGTGATTTGAATATTAATTTCGGGAGCGCAAAGCCGCTTTTACTCCCGGAACGCGGGGATTCGATCCCCGCATCGCCACTCCATCTTCCTGCTTTTTCCGGCAATCCATTGGTCAGCACGCTGCGTGCCATGGGCCAAAGATGTCGCGCGAAGATGTGGGTGTCGGTTTTTGGAGCTATGCTTTTCTTGCGATTCAAAAGGAAACCAAAAGGACAACTAACTATTTGTTGGGTCCCCTTTAAAGAACACACTAGTTTTTTCCGCGTGTGGCGAACGAAAGTGATTGAATTGGGGAGTTTAAGCACCCCTTTTGGGCTCTCAAGGCGTCTGACTGCCGATTTTCCGTGGCATTCACAGCTTGCCCTCCAGCGCAGCTTGTAGTTGAGCCAGCTGAGCTGTCATCCTCGGGGTAAACCACACCTGCTCAAACCATAGGTTTGCGGGATGCCAAGTTGACTCATGGAAGGCACGCCGCAAGAAATTGTTTTGCAGCAGGATTGATTCGAGATTCACGCCTCATTCCCTTGTCCGCTTCCAGATCCAAATCATAAGCAAAATTTCAGGAGTGCAAAGAACAAGCCGAAGTGTGAACGGGCGCGACATTCCCCATGTTGAAAGCCACCGGCAAAGACTTGCAGCCACGTCTCTTCTTGTCTCCTTCAGCATGGCCCGCAATCTGCCTGGCTTGCACACGTGTTGCGCGTTCCCAGCTCTCAAAACCTGGGTGCTTTGCCTCAAACTCATGTCGTGCTGTCATTGCCGTGGAACGAATCGGCGTGACTTGCCCAAATATCCTAGATGTATTCTTGCTTACGTTTCTCCGAATCCAGCAACCAAATCCTCCAATGAGTGTCGACTTTCCACTAATTGCGCCGCAGCCTTGGCTTGCGACCGAACTGCCCAGGCAGAAATTCTCTGCGGGACTCTGGCCAAATTTATCTGCAGTCGAGCTGCATGACAGCCTGCAGAATCCTCATTTCCGATCGACTCACAGGTGAATCGAGGCCTATTCCAAGGCTCATAGCTCTGGCGTTGAGAATGCTTGGAGACTCGCGTTAAGAATGCTTGGAATGTGAATACAGGGGTTTCGGCTCCGCGAAGGGAACAGCCGATCGGACCGCGAATCTGACTTGCATGAATTCCTTCTCCAGTCCTGTCACCACTGAAGCCATAAGATTCCAGCAGCTCGGCCAACAAGTCCTTCACCATGGGCCTGGCGGACCATAACATGGGCCTGAAGCAACTCTGCCTGATTGATATGGCAGTGTTGCACATCACAGGTAGCCACGGGCTTTCAAAGGGATGGGCTTCAGATAACAGGTGTGTGTGTACGCTTCGACGTTGATTGAGTTTTCGTCGTACAAGCATCTGCGAATTCAGGTCGAGAGGCATGAGGGCGGCCATCTTCTTGGCAGCGTCGTCCCCACAGGCGTCAACCTGAACAGTGATGCCCATACCAAGGTTGCGTTGCGTGAGAGTGTGCGTGCTATGTCCCATTCTGTCTCTGCAGTCTACCAGTACCAATACAAAATCAACAACAAACTCTTACATCCGCCATACTGGCAGCTCTGGAAATGCTTCCCAAGAAGCAACTTTCTTGAGCTTCTTCTTGTTCTCCTGCTTGTCGAGAATAGCCTCAGCCACAAGCACTCCAAGCTTTCCTTCATCTTTGCTCATGCAGCCATATGGGAGGTGTACATTCGGCCTGGCTTAAGATGGCATGCGGTACAACACATGAAGAAGGCCTTGCTTCAAGTGCCGCCGGGGGTCCACTGCCTTGCTCAACGCCTCTTTGGCTTGCTCCTGGCTCCAAAGAACACGGCGCTCAGGTGCTCGCACGGATAGCGACCCTTGACTCCTTGGTGAGTTTGACAGCTTTCGTCTCTGCTTTTGCCACGTCAGCTTTCGGGTCGGCCTTGGTCGTCTTACCTGCGACGGGACTTGGGTCAAGCTTGCCGCAACACCGATGCTGGCATGACTTAACCACCCGACTAAACTGGATAGAGGAAGCTGTACAAACATTTGCCATGAAGACACTCTGCGCCTCGCCTTTGGATTTGCTCTTAGTCTTTGTCTCTTTCTTCTTCTCGGACTGGCAGGCGCTCTGCAGCCCAGCGGAAGCGTCAACCAGGGTTTCAGTCATGGCCATCTGCCGCATGCCGCAGATGGGCTGGATTACAGGTCGGTACCCACGCTTGCGGGGAAACTGTTCTCCAGGCACCCCATACGCTTTCTGGCCGAACGATGGCTCAATTCCTGGCCTCCTGTCTCTTTATCTCTTCCTCCTTACGCTTGGCCTCTTCCGCCTGTTGGGTAAACAATAGGTGCGCATGCCTAAGCCCTGCCTGGTTCCTCTCTGCAGGGAAGCTTGATGGAAGAATTGGTTGGTTCGCCAAACGGGACTCCCGAAAAACAGCGGCCCCCACTCGCCCTGGTGTCTTCTTTGAAGCACTCTGTCATAAGCCAACATCAAGGGCATGCAAATATACATCCATCGACCTTGTCAGCACTCAACAATTTTCAGGACTGCATAGGCCCAGTGGCCACTGGCCCCGGTCAAGAAAAGTAAATGAAACAATTCCTCGAAGTTTCCGCTTCTTTAAATGCAGCGGAATGTCTAAAAGGAAATGCTAGCTGAAGGCTTTGGTCGTCAGCCTCCCTGTCGTCTGTCTGTCTTGGCATGGGCCTCTTTCTCTTTCGCCTTGGCTTGAGCTTCCGCTTTCACCTGAGCACAGTCTCAAAGTAGACATATGTGTGCGACTGCAACACGGAGTCGCACTGATCGGAGTAGCCACACACAAGTAAACGCACAGCACGTTCACAGACATACAAGTACAAACGGAAACGGGCACAGACAAAGAAGCACACACAGACAAACAAACAAACAAACAAACACAAACGCAAAGACACAAAGGGCAAACACACAGAGACGCAAAGACGCAAACATACAAAGGCACAGGGACTCAGAGACGCAAACACAACTACAAAAACAAAAGCACACACATACATGCGCGACTACCCACGAACACACATACAAATACAAAACCACATTTACAATCACAAATCCGCCGCCCCCGTGCCTCCCGTCTGCAGAGGGGACCGGCGTGGGATGACAACCCTCACGATTTTTCGTTCTGGGGGGACAGAGCTGAAATACCCTTGGGATCCTACTTAAGGGGCCCTGCTGCGCACGCGCTTGCAGCCGTTGAAAAATGCAAGTCTACGCGCGAACGCCTGCAGACCTTGACCAATAGGCCTGTAAAAAGGCAAATTTCTTCCTCCCAAACACCAATTAACGGAAGCTTGAATTGTTTGCGTTGTCCGTTACTGAGGGTCGGCGACAGCAGGCGGAGGCCTGGTTAATCCGGCCTCGCCGTGCTATGTCGTCCGAAGGGGCGCATGCCTGGGCTTTGCCTTCCGACTGACGGTTGCTCTCGCCGACTCCTCACATCGTCTGCATGTCCAGCGCCTTTGATGCCAGATCACTGTGCGCGCGGCCATTGGAGCTCGAGTTGGCGAAGGCTCAAAACACTGCAACTATGCAGCAATCCATCGCTGACGCTTTCGGAAGCCGCCATCCCTGATGACGCGCGGGCGCCGCACGCAAGCACGTGCGCAACGTCTGGGCCGCGGAGACACACACACAACCAACCCTCCATCCATCCACCATCCCATCGCATCCATCCATCCATCCATCTGTCCATCCACTGTCCACCCATCCATCCACTATCCTCCACCCGTCCATCCACCCACCCACGCACCCGCCATCCACCCACCCACCCACCCGCCCGCCCACCCATCCATCCATCCACCCATCCCACGCGGCGGGCATGCGAGGCCAGCGTGCGGAAACCAGCACTTGCAATCACCAACGCCCAGAAACACGCAGCAAGACACGCAGAGAGGCAAACGTACATGCAGAACAGCCCACACACACAGACCTACTTGCTCACGCGAAAGCAAGCAAGCAAGAACAGAGAAACATAGAAGCACAGAGAAATTAGCAAAAAAATATTAAAAAAACAAGACAAACGAACAGACAGACAGACGGACGGACGGACAGACGGACGGACAAACACACGGCCACACAGCAACAGACACACTGACACACAGACCGGCCAAACCAGACAGAGAGGGACACAGAGCCATAAAGACACAGAGAGTAAAGACACACAGAGGCACAAATACGTAGAGACTCAGAAGCAGAGAGCCATAAACACCCACGCACGATGCAGAGACGCAGAGACGAAGAACACAGAGACACACACACATACATATACACACACACATACATACACACACACACAAGTACCCACACACACATACACAGAAACACACACAAACACACGTACACACACACAAGCACACACACACATCCACAGACACAAGCACACACACACATGCACACACACATAACACACGTAACACACAAAAACACAAACAAACAAACAAGCAAACAACCAACCAACCAACCAAACAAACAAACACACACACCCACCCGCCCACCCACCCACCCACCCACCCACCCACCCACCCACCCACAAACGCACACACGCACACAAACACATGCACACACACACACACGCATGCAGACACACACACACACAAGCATGCACAAACACACACAAACATCCACACATACACACGCATACGCACACACACACACACATGCACACGCGCAAACACGCAAACACACACGTACACACACACACGTACACACACAGACACACACACACACATGCGCACGCACACACACAAAACAAACATACCTACACCCAGGACCCACACATACGCACACACGCACATACACGCACACATACGCAGAAACACACACACATACGCACACACACACAATACATACATACTTACATACATGCATGCAAACATACACACATACATTACACACACATAAACACGTACACGCGCACACGCACACAAACACATGTCACAAGCACATGCACACACACACAGACACACACACACACACACACGCAAACACTCACATACACACACGTCACACACACATACACACATACACACACGCGCACAGATACACACATACACGCATACAGACACATACACACACATACACACACACACACACATACGTTCTTCTACACACACACATACGCACGAAAACGCACACATGCACACGTGCACACACACATACACGCCACATACACACATGCACGCACACACAGACATGCTGCGCACTCGCTCAACGCCATACGCATGTATACCGAGTTTGTGGAGATGCGATCCCGAAACATTTGAAAGGTTCACTCCCTTCGCAACTCATGCCTGGACTGGTTTGATGAGAGACATCCAAGCCGAGCAGCGGCAGCTCGCGCGGCGGTGAGATGCTCGACTATTGGCCGAGTTTCCTGCGCATGTGCATGCGGCGGCACAAATTTGTGGACCACTCAGCTGCCGCCAAAACTTCCAAAAAGGCAAGCCCTTTGCAGCACCAACCAGGCTAACTCGCAGAGGGGTACAAATCGCACAGTCGAACATGAAATCACTCCAATCTTTGTACAAGCCGATTGGAGAGGCGCGCTGGTGCTGGCCCACCTCTACCTCCTTCACCTTCTGCAAATGGCAGTCGGCCATCTGTTTCCACAGCGGCTCTTCATTGCTACCTAGGCTTCACACAAGGCGAGAAGGCGCACTCCCTCTCTCAGCCCTGGCAGTCTTAGGCCTCGGCATGTTCAAATGTTGACCGTTTATCCCTTTCGCAGTTGTCATTTAACAGGTGGAGAGAGGAGAGAAAAGAGGGAAGAGAGAAGCGAGACAAGAGAATTAGAGTTGAGAAGAGAGAAGACGAAATGGGAAAAGAAGAGAAAAGAGTAAAGAGGAGAGAGAAGAAGAGATGAGAGTAGAAGCGAAGAAAGCAAAGGGATCGAAGAAGAGAAAAGGGAAAAAACAGAGAAGAAAGAGAAGAGGAGAGGAGAGAAAGAGAGAGAGAGAGAGAGAGGAGAGAAAAGAGAGAAAAGAAGAGAGCGAGAGAGAGACAGAGAGAGAAAAAAGAAATCAAAGAAGACAGAGAAGAGAGAGGAGAGAGAGAGAGAGAGAGAGAGAGAGAGAGAGAGAGAGAGAGAAAAGAGAGAGAAAAGAGAGAGAAAAGAGAGAAAAGAAGAGAGCGAGAGAGAGACAGAGAGAGAAAAAAGAAATCAAAGAAGAGAGAGAAGAGAGAGAAGAGAGAGAAGAGAGAGGAGAGAGAGAGAGAGAGAGAGAGAGAGAGAGAGAGAGAGAGAAAAAAAAGAAATCAAAGAAGAGAGAGAAGAGAGAGAAGAGAGAGAAGAGAGAGGAGAGAGAGAGAGAGAGAGCGAGAGAGAGAGAGAGAGAGAGAGAGAGAGAGAGAGAGAGGAGAGAAAGAGAGAGAGAGAGAGAGGGAGAGAGAGGGAGAGAGAGAGAGAGAGGGAGAGAGAGCGAGAGAGAGAGAGAGAGAGAGAAGCAGAGGGAGGGGAGAGAAGAGAGAAGAATGAAGAGAAGAATGAAGAGAAGAAAGAGAAGAAAAGAAGAGAAGAAAAGAAGAAAGAAGAAGGAAGAAGGAAGAAAGAAGCAAGAAGAAAGAACAGAAGAAAGCAGAGAGAAGAGAAGAGAGAAGAGAACAAAAAGAGAAGAGAGGCTTCTTCGCTGCAGCTTCTGCGTTTGAGACAATGCGAGTGCAAAACTGGCAGCTCTTATTGTAGCGTGTGAGAAAGTGATGTTCTTTCGGTTTTGCAAGAGCGTGGACGCAAAATTCGTGGGGCCTTCGCAAGATGTCAGTTGGCTCCAGGCTTCCAGGAGTTGTCAGCTTCCGCTGCCGTCTCTCGCCAGTCAATGAAATACTTTGCGTCAATCATTTTCAAAGTCGAAAGCAACTACTCAACCCTCAACCATTGCATCCATGCGTGAGTGTCTCTGTCCTTCACAAGAGCTCAAGTGTCCATAGGCACAAGCTTTTTTTCCATGGAGATTCGCGACATTACAGCTGCCATCGTCGCCTTTGCGCAGGTATTGGCTGAGAGTGTGTCACACTGGTGCGCTTGGAGATGAGCCGCTGGCGGCCAGATGTTGCTCCTCGAAAATTTTGGGGTGGCCAGTTCTGCGGAACCAATACCGCTTGGAGGTTGCGCTCTGACCGCAGCAAGAAAACGTAGAGACCCTGCGGCTGCA